TAGGAAGATTAGTTCGAGTCTAGGTTTTTGCTTGAGCAGCTGCTTCCGCTCCTTATGTCGCCCTCAGTCTCCAATCTACAGGGCGTACAGGCACTCGTTGTATGAAACAACGTGGGGGGGGGAGGGGGTCGCTAATGAGACGCTGGGAAGGAGCTCCTATCATGGGGGAGAGGGGGGTCGTATGTGCCTTTGGAGAAATAAATCTGCTGCGCTGGGAAAATTTTTTCGCTGTTGCTGATTTTCGCGGCTTTTTTTAAGTTATATATCTTTTCGAGTTGTTCCGGTCCTTTTCACAGGTGGCTGTAACCTCCCCACGCCGCCGGCTTGCCAGAAAATTTTTGAGTAAAAAACTGTAGGAAAGCTTGCAGTTGTAGGTAGGGTGCTGGGGTAAGGGGAGGGGATTCGTACCGTGATCCCTTTTGGCGGGGGGGGGGTCTTACGACCCACATTTCACAAGTCACGATGCTGTACTGCCTATGCAGGTTCCTTCAAACAATCCGGATTTGCTAATCTGAGATAGAATCGCGTGAGGTCAATTCATTTTGGGCGCGTGTGATGCCCATGAAGCAGCCTCCCTGGCATAATCTTCTGTCACACCATATATGCTGAAAACAGAAAAGATAAAATAATATAAAACATGAACCTACTAGAATTACAAAAATTGCCCAGTTGACAGAGCAACGCTAAGGGACCAGAAGAGAGCAGAGAACTGGTTTGGCGTCCCTTTCGTATGTGTCCCTTGGCTCTTCTTTCTTTCTGAACAAATATGAACTCTTTTTACCCTTTGTATTCCTCAGCGCTAAATCTTACAAGTCGCTGTTCACGCTGGTGGTATGGGCGGAGTCAGTCATATCACTACACTTTCCTTCTAGTGGATATTTCTTCTCTTTGCCACAAAGGAGGGACGCACCGCACCAATGAGAAGAACGAGGCTGCAGGTCTGACTCCACCCATAGGATTGGCGTGGCTTGTACCTTTGAAGTGGTAAAGCAATATTTTTTGCAATTTATGAAGTACCACCATGTCATCTGTATGAATAAATATAGCTCTCAAATTTTGTCTTCCAGGGCTGCATGTCCGGATCCCTATTACGGAAAGATATTCGAGATCACTGTGAAGCAGCCGATGACGAAGGAAGGGTAAGTACATTGACATCTATTTTGCCTTGAAAATATTAGCCCTTCAAATAGGAAATATTAGCTTACTGAAAGAATTCAAAAAATTCAAAAAGGATAAAGTGTGCTTGAAATTTCTATACGACCCATCCACTCCATTGCGCCCGACTTATGTGATAATACAGTACCGTGATTGATGCTTACTTGAGAGTATATGGGCCCTAAACTGAGATGCGTTGAAATTCCTTCATCAAGGGAAATTTTCTGCTATGAAATCATAGTTGACTGTATGTCGCATGCAAGCTATTTGTTTTTTTCCTATCTTATGATATTTTATTTGAATTATTGTGTCTTCACGCTACCTTTTTTCGTTGTCACAAGCGTGTTTTTCTTTTCCTGGGAGAATACGCATGTCTTTTCATTCTCCACGTCTCATGACAGAAGGATTTCTTAATATTGCGCCGTCTTATACCCATCTCATTCTTCATTCACATGTCAACAAATTCTGACAGCTCCTCCGAGGGAAGCCGTCCCTTTCCCTGTTCATACCTCGGGGGTGCCCGTTTCTTCAGAATGTCAGTCAGTCAGTCAGTTTATTCCACGCCAACGTTCCCAGTTACAAGAAATTATATTCAAACCTTTGCTACTCATGTCACTGTGATCCACTCCCTCTCTCAGCTTTTGGGCTATTTTCCCGTAGTTAGCGCCTTTTTGCCCCTGAGATTTGCCATAGCAGGACAAAAGAGCAAGGTTAAGAATCAGCTAAGGTGCTGAAGTGGCTAGCTTCCGGCCGCGTCCATCTTTTAGTCACCTAACAAAATTTCGCGTCCCCCCCCCTCCTCATTCCGTTCTGTTCCCCACCTGGAAAGTTATGTAGATAAAGTTGGTGAGAGACATTTCTCCAACTCGTGGTGGTGACACAGACCACGTCTATTGGTGTACTCCAAAACTACTGTTGTTGCGTGCCAGTGGTTCACATGGTTCACTGGGTGGGACAGATCAACGAGGCTCATCAATGTACCCAAACATTGCTAGAATCTCAAGCTCCATACCCTGGAGGTGGACTGGGCGTGGCTGCGCACCGTCAGTTTGAACGACGCAGGTTTGTGTTTTGCGCGGAATGCTGCACAGTTTTGGAGCAATTAGAGGCGTCTTCTATGTCCAACACAGGATAGGTATGACGATTTGTTCCAAATGAAAATTTTTCCCTCGAAAATCGATTGCTGGGTGTCAAACTGAAGTAGCAGCCATGCTTCCTAAATTTGGGATGTGGTGTGGAAAGTAATGTGGTTGAGCGTTTGTACAGATCTAAAATAGGCCATTAAATCTTCCCCATCAATGATAACCACTCCTCTTACCCGTCGCAGAAAAAATTCCTCATTGGTAAGTACCACTCCTCCCACCAGTGGCAGAAGAACAGCAGCGACAGAACGGTATGCCTGACTCCGCCCATGCGATTAGCAGTCCTCAGATACAGTTGATGAACTACCTATTCTACTTGTTTTTGTGGCTGATGAAACGGAACACGTATCCACTCAGTCATAGGCTTTGCAACTCTAGAGGTAAATTGAATCCGGAAAAAATGAAATAAATCAGTTCGAAACACATCTTCCGCCCTCGCAATAAAGTCACGTCATGCTCCACGTTCTAGTCCCCAGACAGCGCTTCCGAAAACACCAAAGGAACTATTGATCCTGTGGCTCTTGTCGGCTTAAATGACGCGTGTAACCAGACCTCCAGTCCAAATGTGTTGTCTCCGGCAGGCACACTACTATCGATCATGAAGACAAACTCTGCTTGAATAATAGTCAGCATGACGTCATCTTAAAAAAAACTTCGCAGAAAACATGGTATTGTCAAACTTATGCAATAATGTTGATAGAGCAATATATCAAAGTCAATCCTAGGGGATATCACTTATTACGTATCTCTGCTTCTCCACAAATGCAAAAGGCTCTAATGTGTGAGCGTCAAAATTGATAAGCTTTAAGCGTGAATCTATTTTTACATTATGATTTTTACGAAAAAGAGAGCGCTTGGGGGTGGGGGAAGCACTTCGCTGCCTCCCGCTTCGTCCTAGGCATACTTTGACATCACGCTAGAGCTGCAAAAGCATGAGCACACTTCGGCGAGTGGGGGAGGGGGGTAATTTAATCGCCATATTTTGTCGACCTATATAAATAGCATCTTCTTGCGTTGACACGTTTTTACCTATGGTGGCTAAGACGTAGTGCTCCAAGCTTCACATGAATCACAGGTTTTAGCATGGGCGTGAGATTGTAACCCAGGTAAGTAGCTAAAGCAATGAAAGTGCAAAATGCCCCCTGCCACCGCAACTGCGCGCTGAGCATTGCTTTAATCAAAGCAAGAGTGTATAAGGTCTCACCATAGTTGTGAACGGGGTAACTTTTGACCGGGACATAGGAAAAGGAACCAGCGGAAATGCGCAATCACTTGGTTTAAGAAGCCAATTCTCACTTCTTACTCATTCTCCAAGGTGCGCGGTAAGGGTATCGAGGCTAACTAAGCAACTTTTGCGAAAATTGTATTAGGCACAAAGTGTCAGAGAAAACAGCAATTATTGTTTAGCAAAGCCTCAGTGATTTCATGCTCGGGAATTTGTTATAGAATGCATCTGCGGTAATGCGGCTATTACAGCTTTGATGCTAGGGTTATATTGCTGCTCGAATAGGCACGGGAATGGCACATTCTCTTCCTATGTGTAAACAAATTCCGATAGCTCCTCCTAGCAAGGCAGTCTTCCCATGCTCAAAACTCAGGGAATGGAATCTTTTCGTTAAGAGGCAATTGGGTGGGCCATAGGCTCAACACAGGTTCTTTAAGGGGTGCTTATTCTATTCGCGACACAATTTGCCGCTCCGCCAGTTAACATGAGATTTGGAATGGGTTGAGCACGCACCTTAGCGCGTTGTCGAGGCCCTTGGGAACGTGAAAGAGGAATTTGCGAGCCATCAGACTGCAACCCCCCCCCCATTAGGAACCATTCAAGGAACACTGAAACCACTGTTTACTGCGGTTGCTCAGATAAGAGATTAGGGACCGGTAGGGAGAGAGGAACAAGGCAATTGTGATTTATCGCGCACTGTGGAACGGACGTACGCACGGCGATGTGCGTGGGAACTTTCTAGGATGTGCGTAGTTTGGAGGCAGCAAAGCAGGTGTACATGCATCATGAGGTGTGAGGTGGTGGTGTGGTACGGACTGCCTCCCCCCACGTCCGAGAGATGGTTCTCGGTACGACCTTCCCCTTTCCCCAACACCTGCACTGATTTCCCACATATTCCAGTTTTTCACTCAAAAATTTTGCTGTCGAGGGTGGGGGGAGGGGTATATGGTGCACATGAAACAGAAAAAACCACACAAAAGTCAACAACCGGAAAACCCAACGGGACAAATTTCTCTCAAAAGGCGCATACGACCCCCCTCTCCCAACTTAAATTCAAACGCTCGGCAGGACAACTCGTTGCCAGGCGGCTGCTCGCCCACACCCAATGGAGCGCCGGTATATGGATTACGATTTTCTTCAAATGCCCTTCAGTGGAGGCGTCTCAGCCTCCATTTCCGCATTAGCGTTCCACAGGACGAAACGCCTACTCATAGCAATAGTTTGACTAAGGTTACGGTAGCATGCCGTGTGTTTACATGAGATGAGTATGCAGGCTGTTAGGGGAAAGGTAATCCGCTCTCGTTTGCTCAATGTGCCCACTTTCTACCGAAGCAACAACGGGGTAATGAAATGCATGGCACAATGGCAAATTAGACAATCTAGAAGGAAAGATGGATTTTCTACTCCATTGTAAGCAAACAGAAGCAGATGATTTTTGGTTTAGCTTACGCTCGTAACGTGCTGCTAAAAGGGTCCGTATGTGGTATTCTAAAAGGTCGGTACTTGGGATTACATTCATTTGGACTATTTGAATTGCTTAAATTAACCCCAACTTTCAGCTGAAAGTGTTCATTGACGAAGTTTTGACTTTCTCTACTCCGCTTAATAAAGAGTCTTCACATGATTCCATTTCCTCCTTTATACCTTAGCAGAGCAACGAAAGAAATCGAACTTGCCTACAAACCTCCAAGTTACTTCTTGACAGAGCGGAACTTTCAAAAATACAGGAGTTGATGTGGTTGATTAGATCTACACAAGAAGGCACCAGTTCCACTCCTCATATCGAAACCGTTTACAAGGAACCTTTCTGACCCTTATTATCATTCTTTAGCCCAACTTGGGCTTCCAAGAGAAATTAATCATTACAGATGATGTAACCTTTTTCAGGAGAAATTCACGTGTTTCTGCAACGGTCGAGACAACTGCAACGGTGGTCGAGCATTGCAAAAATTGGAAGTGGAAACAGTTGAGCTGGTAAGCAAAAAAAAATCACAGTCTTCTCCTTTTCTTTTCAACTATCCCTCAACCACTTGTCTTCGATTTAATATGTGGTTAAAACGACTTCAAAGGCAGTTGGCACGATAGTTTTGGTTCTCTGTCCGAAATGCTAACAGGGGTGCTAAATAGTGAGAAAATGGCGAAAAAGCAAGAGAACTAGTTTGAAAACCTGCAAAAAGCCTTCGTTCTACATAACTTAGAAACGATTTTCGGGCGAGTTTCCCGTGGGCATCTGTGCAATGACCTTACTGTAGGTACAGCTGAATGAATGTACTACATAATCCTGTGCGCAGGTCAGCGCTTCATATCGATCCCTTCGCTTCGTACTTTCTTACGTGACATCTTGAACTTTTGTGCATGGTCCTGTTACGAAACCCTGTGAAGCAGACGGATAGAGGGCAGCGGCTGCCAAAGCATCGAAAGGTGCAAAAAAGTTATGGCGAGGCCCGTAACGGGATTTCAAGGGTAGGGGATCGAGGGGTGGGTGACTACTCTCCTCATCATGCGGAGCCGGTGGGGCGTAGTCAGCCAGATAGGAAGTGCGCACCATGTCTGAACGCCGTTCTCAGCCTTTTTTGTTGGAACGATGTGGCGACAAAAGTGAGTAGTCAACGATTAATACGAAGGATATAATACAGTCATATCATTTGCTCGCTTTAAATACTGGTGGAGAGCGGGTTTGGCACCGCGCCAAACGCAGCCGCACTGAACCGCCCCGACGGTACGTAATGATGCGGACTCACTTTACGTCGGGTGCAAAAAGTGGAGTGAGCGAGTCAGAACGACCAATAGAGTGCCATACGGACGAAAGAGTGCAGAGAAAAAGAGAAGATCGACGCGTTCAAAGGGATTGAGTTCAAGTTGTCCGTAGACCGCAGCTTGCCTTGGCGAAAAGACCATGCACCGGCCTTCTCAGAGGCGCGAATTCTGGTCCTTCCAGGCACGTTAGTCTCACCGTCTTGAAGGATTAATCGTGCCCACATGCCTCTAAAGGGCTAGCCTCGTGATTCGTATGAGCGGAGTCAGGCCTACTGCTGTGTCTCAATTATTAGTCCCTTTCCTCCTAACATGGTGAGAGGAGGTGGTGCCAATGCCGATGGTAGGCTTGACCCCGCATACGATTGACGCCTTAGGCAAGCGTTTCAACCTTCGCTTCGATCGTGCAGCGTTCCACGTGCATGCTTTCGACTGTATCTATTGGGCAACAATTGCTCTGACTGACGCGCTGGCCTTGTCGAATGCCTTGAAAGAGCTCCCTGACGGGAATATTATCTTTACGCTTTGATCGAAAACTGAAATTTTCAGTTGACGTGTGTTTGCTCTGGTTCTCACTGCAAAGGCGAGACATGTCTTGGAGAGCTGTGCAGTTACGTGATAAATCATCGGACGAAGGAAACCGAAAGGGTTTGCATATTCACTCGGCTATGTATTCTGCATTTCTGCAACATTTCGTCTGATTCAGGGTTGTGTGAACGCAACTGTCCCGATAGTAGAGCGACGATCGATGGGCTCTTGCATGATTCCCCCAATCACCGGTGCCATGCATCATACAGTAGCAAAGGTAAGCCTATCGATATGCACAGTAAAAACTTCTGTAAAGATTATCATTTCCTCAGGATGCACCAGACTAGGCGGGGTTTGACCCATTATTCCTTCTAGACCTGATCCATCTGCTCCGGATGATTTTGAGGAAACGCCAAATTAATCGTTAGAATTGAAGACAAGAACTAGACGGGGATAAGAGTTAGTGATACGAGTAGTGCTAAGAGCATGGGTGGAAAGCGGGGTCCCGCACTGAAAACAGGATTTTCACCCCATTTACCCTTCGAGAACCACAGCAGTACCTCAAATGAATTCTGGACTGATGGACTTTGTAAGACACACATTCGAATGAAGCGAACAGATGTGCCATGACTGATGCAGTCCTAGTAAGCTGATCACTGGCGATTTCTTGACTTCATTTCCAGCTGCTACTTCAGCCTTGCTTCCTGATAATACTTAATGAAGGCCGGGAAGAGCGCTGCTTAGCTATGCGCTCAAGATAGATGAGAATCTGTTTTTTTGCTTCGCTGCTTAATTATTCGGCCTTGAATAACTCAAGTAGTCAGACGATGTTTGCTGGGGATATTGCTCGCTGCATTTGAACTGTAAAGATAGCATTTCAGCGTCTGTCCTCTGGAGGCACAGTCCACGCTGCTGTGTTGAAGGAAGGAACACATACAAGGAACACATAGATAAGGAGGATACCCAGTCGTTTTCCCTGCAAACGAGCGGGCTTGGGATGGGGCGTGCACTGAAGTGCGGTCAGGACAGTCTTTCCCACCATTTAATGTGGACTCAGGTTGGCATCAGTTGGTGGAGATGCAGCCCTGACTGCGCTGCAATCCTGATTCCGCCTCAAACGAAAAGCTCGCGATCATCCGCCATCACAGGCAGGATACAGCATCGTGATGTGTGAAGTGATGGGTCAGTACGAACCCCTCCCCCCTTCCCCAACACCTACCTACCAGTTTCCCCATTACTTACTTTCCAATTTTTCCACCAAGAATTTTCTGTCGAGCGGGGTGGAGGGTATGTAGTCTACGTGAAACAAGAAAAATCACGAAAAAAAATCACAAAAAGTCAACAACCGGGAAAATTTTATCCCCAACGCGGCTGCTTCCTCTCAGGCCCACTACGACACCCTCCACCCTCCTCTGTTTCAAACAACGATGCTGTACTCTAATCACAGGTAGTGGATAAGGGGTTTGCATATAGACGACAAGGTTCTGAGTAACTCGATAGTGAAGAAAAAAAAGCAGAAAAAAACATGCCAACTGCCCTAGATAGAACCCCATTCCGATCCCAGTTTGTACGTGCCCAGTTAACTCCATCTCCAACACTGCGCCCTCATCCGCACAGCTGATTCCCCGATAAGACAACCGTACAAGTGACGATTTTCATGCTTTTTCGTCCTGCAGCTTCGTTTTTCACTGAAAGGCGGGCCTGAAGGCGGAGTCACTGGAGAAAAGGAGGCGTCACTGAACCTATATTGCGCTATAGCGCCCCTCCCTTACAATTTTTTGCGGCAGAACCGGTACAAGATTGTTCATCGCGGACCCTCATAATTGAAATGAAGGAAGGTACAAAACAATATGGAGGACAGGAGTTGCAGGCCTGACTCCACTAACTCACAGTGGACAATCTCTTTAGACCATTCAGTAGGATGTCAGGAAGCTAAAAGCCGTAGCAACTGCAGTAGCCCACGTTTTAGGACGCATCTGATCTGCTGAAGACCGAATCATGCGTATGTGCATCGGATTACTGTAACGCAGAGAAACCGCAAATCACTGTTCCGGAGCGACAACAATGTCAGACGTTCGTCACCGCAAAAGTTATGGGAACAACGGTGAGTATCTTGAAATTTGAGTGCTCATTCAATTTTGACCAGGTCTAAGCACTAAATTAGCCTGGAAAAGCAAATAGTTCCTGGCACGCGCTGCGGCCCGTTGACGACCGCCCTAATCAACTGCCCGGATGACGAGGTTATCTTCATCTGCAACTTTGTATTCTGGGGAGTTCGTGAGCGGTAATAGTGTTGTGAAGTATGAACGCTGCCTGAAGAACAGTCCTAAGTGCAGATTATCCTCCGGCTACGGAGTCATAACTGGAACGGAACAGCTTCTTGTGTAATTCGAACTTCCAAACTGCTCCGGATACCACATGCCACAGGTATGATCAGCAAACGAAGACGCGGCAATCTGCTAACAGAAACTTTGCAGCATTTCGAAAATAAAATAAAGGATAGGGTCTTTGCCCTCAATCCCTTTGTGAGGTGCGGCACGCATTCTGCTTCCATTTAGAATCGTAGTGACTGATAAATGCGATGTGGCCTTTACAATGATTTGCGGGGCCAGCCGATGTACAATCCTTATCCTCGCTAACGAATCTACTGCCAACTCACGGTGATTCGGGGGGTAGAAGGCTTCTCCCTGTGCGGGAGTCGACCCGCATTTGAACCTAGTAAGCGCGTGAGTGGTAAGCGCGCCACTTGTCGCCACACCACCTCATCTTGAAAATATTTGAGTAAAAATACTCCACAATTCTTGCTCTGATCACTCGCCAGCGCCTGTGTCTCCCCTCAAAAAAGGTTTAAAACTAGGCAGCTTTAGATGACGAGCATTCGAGGGAAAAGTTCCGCCGAAGAAAATTATAGTATTCCTCTAAGCTAAGCAGGGTACATCATCGTTGCTATGAAACACGTTGGGGGGGGGAGATCGTACTTGGCCGCTGGGTCGGGTGTGCCTTTTGACGAGAAATTTGCCGCGTGGGAAATTTTTCGCAGTGCTGACTTTTCGCGGTACCGTTTCACATGGCTATTTGCCCTCCCCCCCCCGGGAAGTTTTTGGTTAAGAAGCGCTTTTAGGGAGCCTGGGAAATTTGAAAGAATGTGCAGGTTAGGTGTGAGGAAGGGGGGGGGTCGATGTACCCTGAGCCTAAGCCCTGATCAGAGGAAAGGATACCAATACTGGCGCATGCTCATTATATCACTTGCTGTTTTGCTGCAATTCCCAACTTTTAGAACTTTTTTCATTCTTTTTTAATCACTTTGTTATACTAATCTTTCAAAAATATTTGCTCGATCAGACTGATTAGGCCCGACCCCTCTCCCTGTTCGGGTGACGTGGTGACGTATGACGTCTCCTGGACTCACCGGCACGAGAAGAGAGGCATGCGACTAATAGGACTTCTTTATCATGCAAGACCTCAAGCACGGTCGGCCACCGTCACGACTCCTGCTTCGCAGGCTACGGAAAGGACCCTTCTTTGTAATGGAAACCTCAGGGTCTGCCGATGACTAAGAAAATGTAAAAAGTTGCGAGGGAAAGGTAGTGTGGTGGCTAAGACGCGAAGCTGCTCCAGTAACACCTCCCTTTTCCCAGTGACTCCGCCTCCAGATCCCGCCTTAAAGTCTGTCTCGCAGCGAAGAGTGATGTTACCGGTTGAGTAGCATCAAGTGAAAGCTCTAAAGGGACGTTAGGTCCATAACAGGGTACGAGCTGACCGGACTAGTCCCAAAATACTGTCTTTTTATCCTTGCACTCGCATAACTGCGTGAGACCAGAGATCCTATTGAAAGCTTTTCCGACGTTTTCTGCTGCATTTTCTCTTCATTGATGAGTCTCTGACAACTATTCTTTCATATTATAACACTACCTACCCTTCCTAAGGCAGCGTTCAGACTTCGCGACGGCAGCGCTTCGGTCGCGCGATTCGACGATCGATGCGCATGCTTTCGACTGCATCGATCGCGTCGAATGCGCGCGACCGAAGCGCTGCCGTCGCGAAGTCTGAACGCTGCCTAGTGCGGACCATGCCTTCAAAGGCAGTTGGCACGATAAATCCCCCAAGACGACTAGGATCAATACTCCTGGCAGATAGAATTTTCCGACCACTGGCAGGGGCGCGCATACGCGTCACCGAGGAAGGTGCCCTTATAGAGGGCACCTATCAAGCCACAACTTCACGTCCCAAACGCCCGCCACGCCCCCCGCCCACAAATGGACGACCGTTCCTGACGCTCGTATTCATTCATTTGCTAAGCAAATTATGAAGCGAAGGGATTGGTATGAAGCGGCCGTGATGCTGCATGCATACATGGATACACATATGCAGCCGTATCTTCGGTAGCGGTGATTGGTAAGATGCCTACGGGAAACTCGTCCGAAATCGATTTACAAGTCATTGAGAACGGAGGTTTTTTCTTTGGCCGGGTTTTGACGTTCTTTTCGCATTTCCCCATACACAGGGCCCTACTAGCCATTTTTAGGTTAAGTAGGAAACGCGTCGCTTGCCAAGTGCCTGAACCAGCATAGAGTATTTAGCTGCAAAAATCATTCGGGGAGTCAATCTCGCCGAATGATTTTTGCGCGTTATTCCTATGGCAAGGGTACGAAGCTTGGGCGGTTTTCTACTACTAGCATAGGGCGCCTTCGATATCGAATGCGAAGTCCTATATTTCTAGTCTCTGTTCAGGCAATAATGGAATCACATGCAATGCGAAAGCCATTAAACCAAATGTAAGAGGAATGCAGACATCGTCGGATCCATTGGAAATTTCTTACCAACCAACCTTATTCTATTCTTGTATTCTATTTGCTTGCCGACAGATGGCCTCTTCTTGCTATTCATTAGAAGGCACATAAAACTTTCATGAGCCGGCCGCTCCAAATACATGTGACGAAATCATTTATCGCCGCACTGTTCGCATACATATGCAATGAGATTGCTCTCTTAAGAAGGCATAAAGCAGGAATGGTGTTCGGCGAATAATCAAAATAAGTTAGGCCACGTGAAGCCAGCTAATGCTTATATAGTAAAGAATGACGAACATCCGCGTTAAACCGGATAAAACCTGCCATTAAGGCCTTTGGCTCGCCAAGCATTGTGGACGAGCTTTTTGCGACGGAGTTTTCTGCGGTGTAGATCGCGTTGAGCAGGCGGTCTGGGTGGGGCATGTTGGACCTTGGTTAAGCGCTACAACGGTGCCATTGGTCGAAAAAGGCGCCTTGCAGCGCATGCTAAGAGGTACAGTATTCTTTCGTGGTATCGACCCTTGCAGGCCTTGTCGATCTTATCCTAACACTTGCTTTCAAATATTCCGATAATTTCCAAGAGTAAGCGCTTTACTTTAGACGAACGGTAGCTTGTGCTTCGAATACTGCCTATGAAAGGGCGAAGTCATCGGGTCTGAATCATTGTCGGTGCAAAACCAAACATTCTGCTTACTCTCAACTCAGGAAATTTGAAACACCCTGGACTAAAACATTTCGGCAAGAGATTCGGCAGTGTAGCTTCTTCAAAGCCTTTTGGGAAATGCCACTTCCAGTCGGCCCTCGCTGAGATTAATGAGTAATCGGTCACGAATTTGTAACATCGGCCACATCCCGAACTATAGCATAAATCAGTGGTCAGCAAAACAAAGGAAAGCCATAGAATTAGATGGGGGAGGGGGAAAGTCCTGCAACACTTTAACCAAATTTCGGACCATATTTCCTTTCACTAAAAGACACTCCAATCTATTGGGTTGGCACATAAGTACTTTCGTTTTTTTTCAACCGGAAATTTCGTTCCAAAGATGAAATGTTTTGCTAGCAAGCTTGATATCATCTGATAGGAAACTTCACGTAGTTTTAGAATATCTAAACTGCTTTGGTTGAGGGAATAATTTTTGTGGATTTTTAGTCGTTGAAGTTGAAAGCGAAGTCGGCGAAAATTAGCACCTTCGACAACTGCCTCTATTTACGTATAGTCGAAGTGCTAAAATCGCTTAAGCTGCTCCATACATTTGGAAAAGGTCGAGCTAGAAGTTCCAGCAAGGGAATCTCACTAGGACGCTTTGGAACGAATTTCAAGAATTTTGAAGTTACCAACCTTCACCTCGCCGATATTGGGCAGCTCACGTCTGTTCCACCTGAAATTTTATGCTAATATTTGAATGTTTCGCTGATATGTTTTGCATGTTCTGATAGCAAATTTCATGCTCTATAACATGCTATAAAAGTTGTTCTCAGAGTGTTTTTTTCCTTCTCTGCTTAATGTTCAGTTATCATTACGGAACGCGAAGTCGTTGAGAACTAGCGTTCCCGTTCTCCACGAATTTTATGCTAACATTTGAATGTTTCGCTAATGTGTTCTATATGTTCTGATAGCCAATTTCGTGCTCTATAACACTGCGTTGCAGTTATTTTGAAAATCCGTTTGATGAACCTTGTTTTCAGGTGGATAATATGGAATGTCAGGTCGATAAGCATCAGCACTTCAGACATCTCCTCCTTTTCGCATTCAACAGAGGTATCAGTACCATTCTTGAAGCGTCTGAACCAATTTTGGGCTGTTTTGAGAGAGAGGGCATCTTCTCCGTACACTTCGCGAATTTCCCGAGCAGCATCAGCAGCTCTGATACCTCTGTTGAATGCGAAAAGGAGGAGATGTCTGAAGTGCTGATGCTTATCGACCTGACATTCCATATTATCCACCTGAAAAACAAGGTTCATCAAACGGATTTTCAAAATAACTGCAACGCAGTGTTATAGAGCACGAAATTGGCTATCAGAACATATAGAACACATTAGCGAAACATTCAAATGTTAGCATAAAATTCGTGGAGAACGGGAACGCTAGTTCTCAACGACTTCGCGTTCCGTAATGATAACCTGAACTTAACAGAAAGCAAACACCTCTGGAGAACAGATTTCTATAGCAGTGTTATAGAGCACGAAATTTGCTATCAGAACATGCAAAACATATCAGCGAAACATTCAAATATTAGCATAAAATTTCAGGTGGAACAGACGTGAGCTGCCCAATATCGGCGAGGTGAAGGTTGGTAACTTCAAAATTCTTGAAATTCGTTCCAAAGCGTCCTAGTGAGATTCCCTTGCTGGAACTTCTAGC